TATTATCTTATAGTACAAGAAGTCCAGAGGCTGGGCTCCCACAGTTAGTTAATTCAGGAGCTCAGTGACATCAAAGATCCAGGTTCTTTCCATCAGTCACTTGGCCATCTTCAGTTTGTCAGCCGTGTTCTCCCTCTTGGTGTCAAGATGGCTGCCACACCTCCAAATGTCATGGCTTCACCCAATTATACCAAACACTCAACTGAGTGTTAGACAACATTCTAAGTATTTTGGATCTATTAAATATTTCAATCTGCACAACAACCCCATGAGGTAAGAACTCTTATTGGTCCCATTTTACAGATAGATACATCAAAGCCCAGGGAGATTAAGTCCCTTGCAAAACTCATACAGTTAGTGAGTGGTGGGGCTGGGATCTGAACACAGGCACCTGGACTCTAGAGCTACAACAACGTCCGAGGGCTGGAAAAGAAGAAGGCACATGTGGCATTAGCAGAGCTGGGATTCGAACCTAAGGGTTTTCCTTTCTATTTCCTCCCAGCTATGCTTCCAGTGGGTTCTGGCAGAAATATGATTTGACCAAGCTCTGGAGCCCTGACTTAACCCGATATCTATTACAGTCAAATCAGCCTGGAATCAGAGCCCTCTGGAGCCATCTGTGTCTAACAGCAAGACTTCCTTCAGAGAAGTTTTGACCTGGGCCCTTAAGGGTGGCTCAGTTGGGAAGAAAACTGTACTTTGGTCTGAGGAAATGAGAATGTCTAGCTGTTCTGCTCAATGCCAAGGGTGGAGATGCCGCTACCAGTCTTCTCAGAAAGCTGCTCTTGATGCTCGGAATGGGGAAAAGACTGGGCAGCTGGCCTGACTTCCTGAGAACTCATTTGCATCTGAGAAACGACTGGCAATCCTGGCAGTCGGATAGTTCACTTCTCACTGGTTTGTTCCACTTGGAACGGAAAGAAAGCACCCCTTGTTTTTTTGTGCTTTATCTTAATTATTTTTTCTTTTAAGCAGAGCTTGCGAAGGGGGCCTTCAAATCCTGAGCCTGCAGAATCTGAGAGTCGCATCAGGCAACAAGGAACTATCTAAAGTTTCCAAGAGGCATTAACAGCAACTGTGAAACTTATGCAACAGAAACGAAATGGTATTTCCCACTATTGCAAAAAGCACAGGGCAACAGAACCTCTAAAACTGCCCTTGAAGAAGAGAATTTCCCTACCATTATCATTGCTTTTTTTTTTCCCCCCTTGAGCTAGACTTTTTTTCCCCCTCTTTTCTCTCTCTTCTTTTGGTGAATGTCCCCAGCTATAGCCTATTCTAGGCGTTGCCTTGGAGGTACGAAGTGATCTAAGGGCTCCTGGCTGGAGATCCAGGAGGGACGGGTGGAGGTGAGAAAGGGAGGAGAGGTCAAGGCTGAAACAGGGAGAGGAAAAGGAAATTTCCGCCAGCTTCGTCATGTTTGGTTCAGGGAGTCGCTCTGTGCCAGGATGAGTTGGGAGGCCGCCAGGCCTTGGACCAAGGGAGTCCCCACTGATCACACCAGTGCTGAGCTCCCTCTCTCGGTCACGAGACCTGGGGTATGCGGTGACCCGAGGCAGAGGCCCGGAGGTGCCACCAACCACTTGGGAGAAGTGAAAGGATTTCTTGTTTGTTTACTGATTGTAAATTATGTTATTGTTTTCCGCCACTCTGGGCTTGAAGCACCAGAAGACAGGAAACTTATCTGCTGTGTTCACTGCTGTATCCCAGCCTGGCCCATAGTAGGCCCTCAATAAACATTTAAATGAATGATGGGTGGAACTTGCTGTGTTTCTTTGTTTAATTCAGCATTGTTTCTCCTGCTGGAATAAGGTCAGCTCCTAGAGGGTCTGAAAGTTGTTGGTCTTGTTCTCTGTGTCCCAGCACCTCACCCATTGCCCAGCACATAGTAGGTGCTTGTGGCAGACACCTCTCTTTTGACAACAGAACCCCAATTTGTTCAGGCAGCCATGTCCTAGGAGATCGATCAGGATTGTCCTAAGTTGATGGTGACAACCCTGGTCTTAGGATCTAGTGAAGGGTGGCCACATGACCCAGTCTGGCTGCTGGGGGCTTTTGGGAAAGTTCTCTGATAGGAGAGATACACAGAGGAGAGCCCCCTTTATCCTTTCCTTTTCTTTCCTGCTTTGGTGCTGATGTGTTAACTGGTAATGGTGTCACTGCAGCCACCATCTTACAAGGCCCCAAACCTTGGGAGAAAAGCCACCGTGATGATGGTAGCAGGCTCCTACGTGCCCTGGTCCTTGACATCACCAAAGCCTGAACCACTGGGATGAACTAACCTCCTCTGGACCTCTCGTTAAAGATACAGTGTCCTCAGGTTTTAGTCCATCAGTAGCCCACTTTTCTTCTCCTAGAAGCCAAATGCATCTGAATGGGTTCAGCACTCAATCCATGAGTTAAATAAATAACTTCCTTCATTTATTGAAGGCTTACTAACTGCTCTAAGCACTTTCCCTGTATGAACCCAGGAATCTTTGCAGCAACCTTATGACAGAGGCATCCTCAGTTCACAGTGGAGGAAAATGAGGCACAGCAAGCTTAAGTAATTTATTAAAAATTGTTATCACCTTTCACTAAGGATGGGATGGTGGGAGAAAAATATCCCAGAGGAATCTGAGGGAGTGACAGAATGCAGTGGAGGTGAGGGTAGGCTAGGGATGGGCTCCATCCACAAATACAGAAATGTTTGGACAGTGTTTTTGGCAGTGTGGGCCAATTCTTGGGTGAGGCATGGGATCTGTGTGTATGTGTGTGTCTGAGGAACAAATACATCTGAAGTTGAAGCTAATCTTCCATGGTCACAGCTGGGAAGGGGACTAACATTTGTTGAGCACCTACTATGTGCCACTTATCTTTATCAGCTACTTTGTATCAGTGATTCTGATTTTGTCCCCTCAGGGAACATTTGGCAATGTCTGGAGATGTTTTTGGTTGTCACACCTGGGGAGAGAGTGCTCCTGGCATCTAAGGGGACAGTCTGCTGCTAAATGCCCTACAAAGCACAGGATGGCTCTGCACAACTAAGAATTATCTGGCCCCAGTGTCAACAGTTCTGACATACTTTTTTTTGGTCTTACAAAGTCACCATTTTACAAATTAGGCAAGTGAGGCTCAGAGAGGTACCATGTCTTGGCCAAGGTCATCCAGCCCACTAGATTTGAAGCTGGGATAAAATGCAAGCCAGTCTCACCCCACAGCCATGATGCTCCCATTATGCTCTCCCCTTGTGGTGGACAGGATTAATTTAAACAGCAGGCAACTGAGGCTCAACTGTTGCTCAGAGGAGACAACTAGTTTAAGGTCACACAGCAGAGTTGCACCAGAGACCTCTACAATTTTCTGAGAACCTCAGAAGCAGCCACCTTTTGGATGCAATTGACTCCACTACTCAAACCTGGCAGCCTCAACTATCTCACACCCTTTACTCCTTGCCCAGGAGAACTTCACTCACCCGAGGCCCAGATCAAATGCTGCCTTGTCCATGAGCCCCAAAAAACAGAGCTGAGAGCACAGAAGTCACCCCTCATTCTCCCTGTGTCCTTAGGCACTTGCACTACTTACACAGAGGCTGCAGCGAGAACAATCCTGGGTGTATGGAACAGAAGATAAATGAATGATAATGGTCCTAACTAACTGATGATTACAGTCCAGAGGGGGGATAGTACATCAGTCAGTTAATCCACTGTAGAAACAATACAATCTCCCGCAGGTGAATAGGGGCAAGTTAGGGATTATGGGGGCAATTTGGAGAATGAGGCCAGGACAAGAAGGCATTTTGCACATGCAATTATAAGAACAAGTATTTATAGAGAACTTTCTAGGTGCTGGGCACTGTTCCTAGTACTTTCTGAGGATCAGTACATTACTCTGAGCAGGACCCCATGAGCTAGGTTCCAATATTATTCCCACTGTATTGATGAAAACACTGAGGCTCTTGAGGCAAGGAAACCTGCCCAAGGTCACCCAGCTAGCAAGTGATGAAGCTGGAATTCGAACCTGAGCAGCTGACTCGAGGCCGCAGAGCTCGTTCACCTCTCCATGACCTTCCTGTGGGCCAGGTGAGGACATTTGTCAAGCGGTTTCAGGGATGATCCAGGGCACACAGAGCAGCCTGGTTTCCCAAGGCCTCATCCCAGGTGGTGGGTGTACGGGAGGATGGCGCGGGCAGAGCAGCTGCCACTTGATTAGTAACTCGAGAGAAGATTATTTCTTCTGGGAAAGGTGGAGAGAGCCGGGTCGTCTCATGCAGGCAAACAAGTTCAGAAAGAAAAGGAAAGGAAAGAAGGGGGGAAAAAAATAAAAGGAAAGGGCCAGAAAAAAGAGGGAGGAGAGAGAGCCGCGCGTCTTTCTCCCAAGGTCGCGGCAGCGCCCGAGGGCACCCAAAGGCCCGGGTGTCCCAGGGGCTGGCACAGTCCGGGCTGGGGCCGCCCCTCTCTCGTCCCTGGCTGACGGGGTCGCGTGTGCCGGGGCGGGCTTGCTCCCGAGCCGCTCGGGTACGAGCTTTTCCAACCGGGTGCCATTCAGCGCGAGCAGTGGCCGCGGCGGCCGGACCTGCATGTGCGCCTCCGCGCGGTGGCTGTCGCGGGTGCCAGGCTGGGAGTGGCGTAGCCAGCGGCGGAGGGGGCCGGGCGCCACGCGGCCAGGAGAGGAGTTGGTGCGCCGGTCGCGGCGTGCACGCCACCTCCGGCCCTCAAGCCTCCGCGGGGCTCCTTCAGGAGGGCTCCCGCCCGAGCTTCCCGGGCGCCCCGGCTCCGGCCGCGCTGGGCTAGCGACGTAGTCGCCGAGCGCCCCGGCACCTCTCCCGGGGACCTAGTGCGCGCGGAGCGCCTCTGCGGCTTCAGCGCGGCGTGGCACTTGGCAGACGCTCCCTTGGCGAGGGGGCGGTGGCGGCAGCGGGGCCCGCCGTCTGGGAGCCCCGAGGGCCAGCCCCTCCCCGCCCCTCATCCCGCCTCCTCCGCTGCCTCCGCCCCCGGCCCGGGCCGCCCGCCCCCGGTCCCGCCCGCCCGCCGCGCCAGGCGCCGGGCCCGCCGCTGAGCCCGGCCAGCCGGCGCGCCCCGTCCGGGATGGGGCGCCTGGACGCCTGAGTCGCCGTTCGGCGCGACCTCCGCGCGGGGGAAGGAGCGGGCGCCGCGCGGCCGCGGTAGAATGGAGGTATCCGGCGGCAGCGATCCCCGCGGCGACGGGGCTGGGGACAGTGCCCACGCCGACCCCCGGGTCCCCGGCGCCGCTGCTCCCAGCTCCGGCCCGTGCGCAGCCGCCCGGGAGTCGGAGCGCCAGCTGCGCCTCCGCCTCTGCGTCCTCAACGAGATCTTGGGCACCGAGAGGGACTACGTGGGCACCTTGCGCTTCTTGCAGTCGGTGAGCGTCGCCTGGGGAGCGCGGGGACAGCCTCTGCCCCGGCCAGCCCCGCAGCGGAGGGCAGGGGCCTCCGGCCCCGGGCGGTCTCCACAACCTGTGGCCGCGGTCCCCAGGGGCGTCCGTCCCGTGGGGCGTGCAGGGAAAGGCAGTCAGGGCTCCTCCAGACTGGGCTGCAGCCCCCTTGGCCGGCCTGCGGTCCAGCCAGACCCGGATCTCCCACACGCCGTTTCCCCGCTGCCCGCTGCCCTTTTGTCTTTTTCTTTTTCCCTCCCCGCCTTTCAGATAGTTTTAAAATTAGTTAGATTCACGAGGCTGGGGCTCTGGGACCCTGGCGCTGGGAGCTTTCGATCCAGTGTTTTTTCCCCGGGGATTTCTTCTCCGCTTAGGGCACCATCCACTACTCATCTCGGGCGGACTCAAGGCAACCTAGAGCCCAGCGTCTGTCCTTGCCGAGTAGAGTAGGATAAAACCCAAAGCCTGGAGGAGGGACGGAGATCCACAAAACCCCAGGGTGGGACCCTCGTGGGACGTCGCCTTCCCACCGCACCCCGTTTTGCTGGAGCTTGGAGAAGAAGGTTTTGAACTCACGACTGGGCAGTTCCGGCCCCATTCCCATCCCCAAATTGCAAAACCGCAGTGTCAGACTCTGAAATAACAGCGGAGCGTTGCCTATGTGGCAGGCGCCAAGATGTGTCATTAGGTTTAACCTTAACAAATGGCTTGTGAAGTAGGGAAGAGCAGTTCCCCCAGTTTTTAGACGGGAGAGTTTAACTTCAGAGAAGCTGGGTCTCTAGCCCAGCATCACACAGCTGGTTTAATTGTACGGATTTTGAACTAGGGCAGTTCCAGCCGGTGCTCTAAACCCTGTTTCTATGCTGCATTTTCTCTTCTTTTTTCCTATGAGAGGGAGGAAGGGGCCACTTCCCTACTCTCCTAGGAAGTGAGAAAAGTGGCTAGGGGGTGGGACCGCGGCCGAGCTGGCTGGAAGTTAGGCGACTCCGAGGGCTTTAATCTCCATGCCTCCTGCTGGGACCTCATTACCTCCCTTCTCTGCTCCAGGAAGTCTTTCAATTCTTGTTCAAGAAGGGCTGGTTGGGGCAGTAGTGGTTCCTTCAGGGACCCCAGAGCCAGGCTCTGCGGTCTCTGGGGGAAAGCGGGAGACTCTGGTATCCTCTGCCCTCAACCCCCCCAACTCTGTGGCTTGGGGGTGCAGCTGAGGCTGTGTGAGGTCCCACTTCCAGCCCAGGGAGGAGACAGCTCTTTTCTCTGTGCAAAGAGGTGTGTGGGGTGGAGGTGGGGGGAAGTTGTGCAGAGAACCATTTGGCTGAAGGACCCTTCCAGAAAGGCCTGTGAGAATAAGGCAGGGTTGGCATTTCTTTTCCATCTCTCCCTCTCTCACAGTTAAAAAAAAGACTGCTCAATTAGAAGCTGGCAGTTTCTGAATTAAAGATGTAGACAGCCTTGGTATCTCTGAGCAATGTCAGATTCTAGGCAACTTCTCACTTCTCCTTCAGAGCCACTCCGTGCTCCTCAGTCTGGAAGGGAAATAGGAAAACAATCCAATTTTTATATTAACGGGAAAGCAAAGATACCTCTTTCTCCTATGCACTTGCCGAGATGGTGTGGTGCATTTCAGAACAGATACAGATTGAGTCTGGATTAACTGTGGGTTTAAATTGTGCATGTGTGAAGTCTGAGGAAGCTGGAAAAATGGAAATTGATTGGAATCAACCATTCGTATTATTAAAGATACAGGAAAAACAAAGATTTCTCTACTTTCACATTATCTCTTTGGCACTTTAAATTTGTTGAGTTCATCAGTTAAAAAAAATCTGTCAGTTCTGAGATGGTTCCAACTTTTGACATCTCAGACCAATCATAACACCTGTCCTGGCCTCAGTTTCCTTCCCCACCTGTAAAATAAGGGGAGGGGAATCCAGGCTTCCTTTTTGCCTTGTCCTTTAGGGTGTCCCCAAGCTGGTGCCAGACAGGGACTGAGTGTGTAACCTGACCGGCCGTACCTTGTCTGTGAGCTGCAAGGAGCCCTCCCTTGTTTTGCTCCATCAGAAATGGCCCCTAGACAACCCAAGGCTTTTCAGTTTTGAAAACCCAGGGCTTGGAGCTTCAGGAACTGCTGATTACAAAGGCTTTCCATGCCACCAAGGCTGGCAGCCTGCAGGTTGTGATTCTCTTCTATCTTCCCACTCTCTCTTCCCAGGCTTTATACTTGCTAAGGGATTGTTCCCGCTTGGAAGAATGCTCTGTAATCCCTTCTGCTTTCAATTCCATGTGACAGTGGCAGGTCTCGAAGGGCTGCCCTGGCCACTTTGTGTCCCTGGTTTTAAGGTCCCATTACCAGGAGAAATGAAGCCTTTGTGGTAGACTGAGCATTGCGGGAGATGCAGAAAAGCCAGGTCTAGGTTCCTGCCCTCAAGGAGGGGTTAGTCCAGTGAAGGGCTTCAAAATGGTGTTTGCAGAAATCCAATTAGGAGGCTGGTCTCTGGAGCCAGACTGCTTGCTGGCAAGGGCTTGGGCTGTGTGGCTTTAGGCAAGTGGCTTAACCTTTCTGAGACTCACTTTTTCTCATCTGTAAAATGGGGAATGATAGAGAGCTTATCTTACAGGGTTTTTAAGAGGATAAGTGAGTTATATAAATATATATAAAGCACTCAGAACAGTGCCTGTCAGATCATAAGGCTTATAAATATTATTATCACTAATTACTATATGATGATTAAACAAATAATTCAGATGATTCAGGTTATAGGATTCCAGCATCCAGTGAGCAAGAGTAGTCAGGGCAGGCTGCCTGGAGGAAGTGAGGTCTGAATCAGCATTGAAAGGAGGACAGGGACTCTGAGTGAATTTATTTTTGACCTCTAAACTCCAGAACCAGTGTTTTTTTTGTTTCCGATTCTGGGGCTCTGTGGTTCCTCCAGAATCTCACTGTCTTTCCTAAATCCCTCAGGAGTTGGATTGCACCCCCTCCCACATCTCCAAGGGAGCCCAGTGACCCTGGTGCTGTGTTTTGTGTGTGTTTAAGAGTCGTGGAAAGGCAAGGACAGCCCTCTCATAGAGATCCTGGATCTCCTTTGGAGGACACCACAGAGGTTGTGGGAGAAAATGCCCCAGGTTTTGACTTTGAATCTTGAATTTCAGCATTGAGAACCCTCATCTGTCTTGGGTGCTTCTGTGTGCTCTTGGGTAGTGTTAATAATGAAAGTAACAATGACAGTACTGTGTAGAAGCTGACACCAATTCATCATGTACCCATTCTAAGCACTTTGCATATATCAATTCATTTGCTCTTTCCAACAGCCCTGTGAAGGGAGTGCTATTGTTATCCCCACGACAGGTGAGGAAATTGAGGCAGAAGGTAGTTTAAGTGAGCTGCCTGGGGTCATGTGGACAGTAGGGCCGGGATTTGATCCCAGGCTGCCGACTCCAGAATTCATGCCCACCTTGCACGTAGTCTCCGCCTTAAAAGGTGCTTGGCATGATTTATTAAGGTGGCAGAACTGAGGTAGGAACCCAGGTGTGTGTGAGCCTGCTCTTCTGCTGTGCTTCCTCTGGTTACTTTCCCCTGGTGACTTCTCTTCCTGCTGCAGAAGGCTGCACTGTAGCAGAATGGAAATGGCAGGCTGCTGGCTTCCTCCTCTGTGTTCTGTGTCTGTTCATGAAGTAAGGGTTGAGCGTGGGGCTCTGAAGCCAGGCTGCTGGTGTTCAAATCCTGGCTTTACCCCGCACTGACTGTAGGTGGCCCTAAGTACCAACCTGCTCTGTGCCTCAGTTCCCCCATCTGTACAGTGGGCATAGTGTATAGTACCTGTGTCGTAGGGGGTGTTGTGAAGCTTCAATGAGCCTGATATTAAAACTCTTAGAACTGTACCATGCACGTAGTAGGTGCTCAGGATGCTTTGGTGGCTATGTTGGGAATGTGAAACAGTGGGAGACAGATGAGGTCTGTTTGGGGCTCCAAGTCTCCCCCCTTAAGGAGGAGGCCAAGTGAGCCTCGGCCCCACCTGCCTCTTGGTTAGATTGGTTTGGGGGCTCAGCCTGCATGGGGGGAGACCTCTGGGGTAGATGCCAATGGGCCCTGTGATGGATTTGTCAGCTGGGCAGTGGTGGGAAGAAAGGGGGCAGGAGCCTAGATGGATGGGCAGAGAGGCCCCCAGGTGGGGCTGGTCAGCAGCCCCTGAAGGACTCCCCTTGGCTGAGGACAGAGACCTGTCACTGCTAGGCACCCAGAGGGTCCACCCAACTGGCTGGACCTGAGGTCCCTGAGGATCAGGGGATGTGGGTAGAAAGCTCCCAGAATGCTTTCTGTGGTTCTGCTTTTTTAGGGTAGGAGACCAAAGCTTTTCTTCTCGTTGGAGCTCTGCTTGCCAAACAAGAAACTGTGGTTTTGTGTTGTCACTATGTTTTTTTTTTTTTTTTTAAGATTCTGTACTCTGGTCTCACACTAGGGAGAAACACCAGGGGGGGTGGGGGTGAAGGACACATTTAAATTCTGCAGTCATTGAAACAGAATGACACACCCAATGACTTTGGCAATTTTCATGAGGTTGTGCTGTGAAAAGTAGGATGCTGAGATGTGTGTATAACATGATTCCACTTTGGGAAAATAAACATTAACCATAATACACATGTATATTGTGTATATAACATTATAGGGACATGGAGAAAAGGATGGAAGGACATGTGTCTTCTGGAGAAAGGCAAGCAGGATGATAAAAAAGGGAAAAATGTACTAAGAAATCCTGTTTGTAATACATTTTTCACATAAAATCATGCATATGTGTGTGAGTGTATTTTTTACAAAACTCCCAACTGAAAGAATTGTATTTTCAGCATGATTGTTAGGTTAATGCAATAGCAATAGGAATAACTTGCTAGCACTTATATAGTGTTCAATGTTTGCAAGCCCTGTGTAAAAAATTCTCTGTGTATCAACTCAGTTCTGGGTGTTGTGGTGTTTCCCATTTTACAAATGGAAAAGG